CACGGCCTAAATGAAGCATTTATGATAAGATACTAATGATTACACTTGTTATTCAACCTAAAAGTTTTTTTTGAAAGACTTTTGATTTGATCTTAAATCACATCTCTTCAATGGACTTGTACCTCAACTTCTAATGTAAAATGTAAAGTTATCCGAATTACCTTTTAAAAAGAAAAATTATTTTATCATATTAGAGCATATCTACAAAATTTATGGGAAAAAAAACTTAAGATTTATCGATAAATTGACTCAAAAAGTTTTTTTACTTAAAAAACAAAACAAGTTAGAGTATAAACTAGTTTATGTTTGTCGAACACAATATTAGTGGACCATTTGAATATTAAACACTCCAAAATAAATTGTGAATCCTACAAATTTCAATTTTAAAATGAGATACCGTTCTAAAAAATTATATGGAAAATGACTCTTGAGGGTAACAAACTGTTGCGTTTGTTCTCATTTGGTCCCTTTCCTTTTTTTTGTACTTAATATATCATCGAACTTATTTTTTGTGCTCACCATAACCTTTTTGACCGGCTTTTGATCTGTGATAGCCGGTCAAAGGGTTATGGTGAACACAAACAACAAGTTCGATGGTATATTGAGTACAAAAAAAAGGAAAATGACCAAATGAGAACAAACTCAACAGTTGGTTACCCTCCTGATTCATTTTCCCTTTATTCATTTACAACAAATCCCACGTCATCTTCTGCTGATAATAATGACTTTATGAGATTCATTATTGTTTCTCTTCAAAAAATAATCCACGAAAGAACATTATTCATACATGTACAACTTTGTAATGCACTTAAATATTTATTAGGGGAATCTTGACTAAGCAGGTGCATTTCATGACTACATTTACATTTTCAATCAAATGATTTATCGTATCATGGATTCTAGATAAGTCTACAAACGAGTGAAATCACAAGTGCTATGATTTTTGAGTTTACTTAGCTTTATGATCGAATTCATGGGATAAGATACAATATCAATATGTACAATATCATGCAGCTTTTGCAGACACATCACCATAATATACCTTGATGTAAACGTTTATGCTGATAACTATACCTCTCATACACAATCATATCCTTTTGTAGAGAGGTGTTGACAGCTAACCACAGTAAGCATAGCATAGACCATGTTTTAACGAAGTTACCCCTCCGAAACGCTCTTCATGTACGTTATGGCCAAAGAAGGTTGCAGTCTTTGATAATTTTGCAACTTTAATTTCATTTATCTTTTCGGGGAATATGACTCAGGAGGGTAACTAACTATTGAGTTTGTTCTCATTTGGTCCCTTTCCTTTTTTTTTGTACTTAATATACCATCGAACTTGTTGTTTGTGTTCATCATAACCCCTTGACCGACTATCACATGTCAAAAGCCGGTCAAAAGGGTTATGGTGAACACAAACAACAAGTTCGATGGTATATTGAATACAAAAAAAAGAAAATGAACCAAATGAAAACAAACGCAACAGTTAGTTACCTCAAGAGTCATTTTCCCAAAATTATAAAACACCTTATCACTAAAGGAGAGTGGCCTACTCTTACAATGTATAACAATGGTATTCATAATTTGTAACATTGTTGTTTCGACCATTAAAATTGAGATATTTGAGTCGTGTGATGAAAAACTATGACATTCTTGACTAGTTATTCAAAAACATATCAAATTTTACATTACATTATCATTAACAACTTAAATGCCCAAACCAAAAAAAGAAGGAACGAGAAATGCGCCAAATGTGTCATACACTCAGCCTCATAGACTTGCAATCTTCTAAGCCTTTTACTCAAATGAATTAAAGTAAAATATAATTTTTTATAATTATAAATATTAGTTTAAGATATGTTTTCATTTGAATTAAAAATACGTACATTTCAATCCGAACATATTTAAATTTGTTTTATCTATTTTATCAAATAAAAATAGACAAATATAAACGCGATCTATTATATACAAATTAACGATAAAAGTATTAGTTATTTTTTTTTGTGTCTATTAAAACTCCTACAATTTCAATACATACGCTAATATCTCTATATTAAACACAAGAAAAATCTATATTAAATGTTTGGCTATATAAAGACTTTCAATCCATATGAAAAAGCACACTAAAAGTTTAATGCCAGAAAGCATAATTTATTATAAATCTTTTTTTTATTGAAAAACGTTTTGGAAAGAGGAATTAGACCATTGCAAGAAAAGAGAAAATTTTAACATGTACAAAATTAATATAATAGTTTTTTCGAAATTGATATATGATAAATTGTTTTTTTTTTTTTAATATTTGTACATAAAAAAATCAATAGAATGATATAATTATTGTCTATTGCTTACATAAAAAGTCAAAATAGAGCAAATTAGAGGGAATAAAAGGTGGTGCATTTGGAGACATTTATGGTTGAGTTGCACAAGAGCCTGATGGTCCTCACCATTCGGAAATGAGGACCAATTAATGGTCCATGTTTCCATTGTCACATTAACATCATATCCATTTCACTTCAATCAAACATTGGAATTGGTGCTTTCGGTTTCTTTAAATCCATGGATTTATGTAAAGTCGTCTTTTCTATATGAACCTAGACAAAGTGTAATTTTTTTAATATTAAATGTTGTATGTGTAAAAGGTGTTTAAAATAGAAAAAACGAAAATAATAACATAACAGAGAAGACAAATACATGAAGACAAAATTAATAAATGTTACAATTTAATGGTGAAAACATTGTTTCTTTAACTTTCTTGCTATATCTATCTTTCCGCATTAAGTAAAACAAATATGTATATATAACTTACTTAATTAAATGATATCTTCATCTATCAAGTCAGAACAAAACAACATTATGACATTTCTACCACAAAATGTTAGATATTATCAATTTGGTCCACTAAAAGGATTGTTTTGGTTTTGCTTATTTAGAGTTTTTATCAATTATATGTTTAATTGAGATGATATAAAAGATTTAAGTCTTTAGCTATTGACTTACTAAACTCCCTCAATCGGGTTGCAATTGTTTAAATTTAAAAACGAGGAAGTTGTAAATAACACACTAACTTATCACGGATTAAGGAATTCGAAGCAAAATATGCACTCTTATTACGAAAAAATTTGTGATCATCCTTAGATTACCTCAAATACTTGTCATGCACATGTGTAAAGGCTTATGGTCTAGTGTGGTCATGAGTTTATATTAGTAACATTAAATGTGTCTATGAACAGAAAAAACATGTAGCACATTCTTCATATGAAACTACAAAATAATGACATCTCATAATTTAATTGTTACCTATATGCATTGTAGCAACTAGTTGTCATTTCCTTTCGTATCTCCCTAAGTCAAAATGTAACTCATCTCATCACACATTAGTTTGGTCATGTTTACAGTTTTAGTATCATATACAATGTAACAATAGTTGTCATATTGGCACCAACGCTTTAAAACACATGTAATGTCATCCATAAGCACATCAACATAAATTCACATCCACATATATTCAAAAAAACGACAAAGCATATCATGGCAATCATCATTCTTTTCCTATTTTAACATGTAAAATACTTTCTTTGCAACAAAAAATAGAAGTAGACTAGATTGAAACCCATCATCTCTAATTTCATGTATCTTGATTCTTGCTAGACAAAAATTCCAAATATTCTACTAACAAAAACATATATGATATGTTTGGCCATCAAGAGCTTTTAGAAGCTTTTAGTTTTTAAGAAAAAAAACTAGAATTAAAGAAAAAACTTCATTCGGAATTATTAACTTAAAACTTTTATTTTATATAAACAGTTTAGAATCCAAAAGTTACTTCAAGTAGGTTTTGAGAATTTTAACGAGTTTTTAATCATTTTACAACTTGCAAAAGCTTACACCACATTTGTTGAATAAGTCTATACATATAAAAGTTGTAACTCCCAACGCCCCAAACATACCCTTAAACCTTAATCTTAATTAATAAAGTGGGTAATTCAACATATATTCATTTTCCTTTCAGTAAGCTTCCAACAATAACGACTATGGATTGTAATATTATAATACATTATTGGTTTATTGATTTAGACATTTCCTCGTTGATTTTTTGTATTAGACAAGGAATCTTTCATCGATTATAACATCTTGTTTGTATCCTTTTAACTTGTATTGAGATATTACAATATACATACGACTTTGAATCACCTGAAAAATGTAGTTGAAAATATGTAAATATAACCTACTTTCCACGAATTCTTACTTCAAGCAATATTTTTTTATGTCCATTTTGAGTAATACACCTTAACCCACCGGCATAATAAGATCTAAAGTAAATTATAATGTTACATACAATGACAAAAATACATTGCGTGGAATGGAGGGAATTAATAAAAATTAGAGTAAATTAAATTATTTGTTCTTGTGCTTTATAGAAAATCACAAGTTCGGTCCAATTTTTAAAATTGTTTATATGCCAGTCCTTACATTTGCATTTCATTACAGATATGGTCCTTGTGCTTTACTCATTATTGCAAGTTTTGTTCAATCTATGTAGCCATACTATATGGATAAGGACTATATTGGCAACAAAATTCAAACTTAAGGACATGAGGATAATTCGATAATTTGGACCAAACTTGCAATTTTGGATCGAGCATATGGACCAAATTTGTAATTTACTCTATAAATTATTACCTCTAAAAAAAGCACATTATTATATATAGTGAAAATTAGCCTAAGGTAATTGTTATTATAGACACTATTATTATAGTGTCTATAATATGATTATTAAGATAGAATAGATTTAGAATAGATTTTTAATACGTGCAAAAGACAATTGTTATTATAGACACTATTATTATAGTGTCTATAATATGATTATTAAGATAGAATAGATTTAGAATAGATTTTTAATACGTGCAAAAGACATAAATGTCCTCCTTTTCCTGATATCCAAAATAGGCCTATGTGTTTTTGCAACTACGATATACTAAGATGGATGTAGAAATTTAGACTAATTAAAACGACAATTTAATATAATTGTGATAATTTGGACATTTACTCACAAGACATTTACATACATATTACTTGTATATATATATACGAGTCTTATATAGACATAATTGAATTTAACTCTAGCGTGCTTCTTTATGAGCATTCCATCCTTTCCATTTCATATTGCTGAGCCATCCGAATCCAAGACTTAATTGACCCGACTTTAATTTCACCAAATGTTGTCTGTATGGTATCAGTATACCCCTCAGACCTGTATTATAGAAAAAAAAAAATTATAGGTTAAATTACTCTTTTGTCCTTTAGGCAAAGTTCCTTACATGGAACAAATTTTCTAGGGATCTTTTTGGCAGTGAGGATGAGGAGGGCATTAGCGTCTTTTGCACAGACAAGATACGACTGAATCCATGTCCTGACATCATTTCTTTCTATTACGACTTCAAAAAATTACCCAATTATAACATTGTATTTATTTTTATTTTTCTTATTGGAATTTTGGACATTATATTTTGGAAAATCTACCAAATTATAACAGAAAAAATTGTCTTGTATTTGGATGACATTGCTATAATTGGGTAGATTTCAAAGTATAGTGTTGTAATATGATAAAGTTAGAGCAGGATACTATAATCATGATTAATGAAATGGGATAAATGCAAAGCTATAAAACATATTACCATTTATTCATGTATTATAGCATCTTACTTTCAGTTTTTTTTTAAAGGTTAAATATCATAAAAGACCTTATATATCGAGTTTTTTCCTGATTAAACCTCAACTTTATTTTTTTTAATGAAAAAGACCTTGCAGTTTTTCATTTTTTCCGAAAAATCCCTCAACTATTTATTTTTTCAAAAAAAACCTCACATTTGACAAGTTTTTTCGGAAAAAGAAACTGCTAAAAGGGTCAAATCGAAAAAAATGGAAAAATACAAGGTCTTTTTCATCGATCGGAAAAAAAATGGAAAAAAAATTATTTTAAAATTTTAAAGTACAATGCTTTAATAGGAAAAATAAATGAAACTAGGATGCTCCATGCTACGATAAACAAATCAATTAAAGTTTCAATTTCTTCCAACAACTCCTAAATAAATCGATAAAGTAATTTGCTATTTTTTGCATTTAACCTTTTCTAAAAAACACAAGTGAGAAACAAAGCTACACAAACCTGATCACACATTGTCTTGTAAAGTTGAGCAACATGAACATCTCCTCTTGTAGCCATATGAGGCCTCTCTAAGCACTCAAGAAAAGCCAAATCCGCCTTCAAAAGCTCACTTTGATCATGACTATCATATCCCATATCATGACAATAACAACAATAATCAAGCCAATCAATAGGCCTTTTATCCCACAATAAAGACCCTCCATCTTTCCCACTTGACCAATTTGGCCCACAATAATGCCCATATCGTGGAAACAATTGTGACAAAAATGCCCTTGGACCCGTGTGCCATGGAACCTTTGAAACATAAGGTCTGAAACGAACTGTGGAGTAAGTGACACCGGGTCCCACAAGATTGGCTCGAGAGTTTTGTGCGTGTTTTTTTAGTTTTTTGTTGAAAAAAGTTGGGATTTTTAGGTTTTCTGCCCATGGGAAAACTGAAATGAGGGATAATCCCCAAACTTTGATGTTGATTTCTTGATTTTTAGGTGGATATTGAAGGATTGTTGTTGTTGTTGTTGTATCTGGTTTGTTTGAAGTCATTGTGATACTAAAAGTGTAGAAGTAATTGAGAAATGGGTTTTATGGGAATCATTTAGTAATAGAAGAATGCTTCTTGTTAAACAAGACCTACATGAAGCAAGAATAGTAAAAGTAAAAGTTGAATTAAGATAAGCAATCCAAAATGGAGTGAAAAGAATTCATAACAAAATGATTAAAGCATGTTGTGTTTGTTTTTTTTTTCTGTATTTTCCCTTTTTACAAGATGGGATAACGGAGGAAAATGGTTTTCTAAATGGTAAAAAAGTAAAATGGTTTTCATGATGTCACCAGAATCTTTGGCTATATACAAGCAATCAGCAATTCAACTAACAGATGATGAAACTCAAACTGAAGGTTGTTATACAAGATATAGTTTATAATGATAATAAACAAGAAAAAGAAGCCTTGAACAAACTAAAAGTCTTAAACAAACCAAAGGTCTAATCAATAATCATAATCACCCTCTTTTAAGTTACCATCAAACTCTTTTCTTATATCCTCATCACTCTTTAATCCATCCACAGAGGTGTAATTTAAAAGTCTAATATTTCTTTGGGACAAGTTAAGAAATTCCCATTTCATAGCCTACGAATTACGTAAGACTAAGGGATTGTCATGTGCGTTTAAACTACTTATTGCGATTTGAAATTGCAACAATCAATTTTAAGTGTTTGCGTAAACCGATTATGATTCCAATTTTCTGATTATTTAGGGTAAACGTAATCATTTGGATATCAATTAGCGTACGAAAATCGATTATAGAAATCATTGTAACATTACCCAACTATCCTACCTTTTAACAGATTATGTGATTTTGATTCTTTCAAAGCATCCTTCATAATGTAAAACCGAAGTCATAGGCCTATGTGTTCTTGCAAGAAAAACAGAAACAGGTACAATTTCCCAGTAATTACACATACGTTACTCTATAGTTCATCAAAATCAAGTGTCAATCCGAACTCTATTAAACTTGTCACAAAGCAATAATTTTCTAAGGACAATAGTTTTCACAAGAACACAATACTCGAACGCGATAATTTCCTAAAAGTACCAAAATATGACAATTAATCCACAGGTATGAACGAGAGCAAACGAAAAATCTATTGATGAGCTTAAAATTCAAATGCGAAGCTAAAATTAGAAGGTGAAACGAATGATACTAACCGAAACGCAGTAATTCAGCAACAATTTCGTAGTAAAGCTGTTGTTCATCAGAAAATTTGGGAATTTTAATGAAGAGAACAGGGTGGGAAAGGATAAAGGGAGTGATGCGACAAAAGTTCACCGACTCAGCAATTGTACACTCAGAAAATTAGTGTCTTTGGTCAGAATATATTCTCCAAATAACAAGCTAACGTTCTCTAAAGTCTTACGTAATAGAAAAATATTACTAAATATTTATTGAGTTTTATAGTTTTATTTTTTAATCTACCTTATTTCAAACTTATCAAAAAGTTTAAATAATAAAATTTTAATTTATTTTGTTAATAACAAAACTGGTCAATCTAGTTTAAGCAATTTTGTAAATAGTAACCAGGTTTTAAAATTATTTAACTTTTTAGAATTTTCAAAACCTTTTAAGAGTTTTAAACACTTAAATCTTAGTTATATCACAGAAAAAAAATGTTATAAAAGATATTATACTTTTTAATTTTTTTATTTAAAAATAAACTTTATTTTATTTTCAAAAACATCTGCATATCTTTTTTTTTTTCGTTATCATTTTTTAAAAGGTTTACAGATAATCTTTTAGTAATTGACAATTTTTGGGTAAAGAAAAACCAAACTTTTTCTCAAAAAAATAATAAAAAAAAAAGAAAAAGAAAAACCCTCTTATATTTAACAATTTTTTTTCATTTGGACCAACTTTTTTTTTGTTTTAACTCATAATCTCGATGTTCTTATTGTTGGTGTTTATGATGTTCTTGATTGAGGAAGATAAAGATCTGATTGTTAAGTGGTAAACCATATTACGTCAACTCACCCCAAAACTCATGTGAGAGGTCAAACTTTGAACATTAACGATATTTTAGACATGACAAAGTTTGAACCTTGGACCTCTTACATAAAATTATGCACCCAAACTACTAGTCCCCATTGTGGGGCTAACTTGTATGTGATTGCTAATTTGGAAGGTGAAGATCGTGTCTGATAACTTCTATCAAACAAATGATTACATGTCTTTTGGGGAGTGAATGTTTTGCATGTGCATATCACAAATGGTTTCATGTTTGCTAATTTCGAGACTAAATTTCTGATTTTGTTATCGTTCACAATGCTACTCTTAAATGGCTATTGATGGTAAAAAAAAGTGAGTCTAAAATGAAAGAACGTTTACATCAAACAAACCCAAGTAAACCTAGAGGAAGATGTACAACAATCCTAATCCTTCATAGCAGCCAAATGTCAAATAAATACCAAACAAAAATAGTGGAACATAAAATAGACGTGTCCTCCTCCAACACTAAATTCTTTCCGGCATAATTAAGAGCTACATGCCGGATGATCCAAGCTATACTTGACTATACTTATCAGACACTTTCACAAGATCATTAAGATAAAAACCATTCAATAGATGCATCCACCACTTATAATCTTAAACACGATATAAAATGCACAAAATGCCATAAACTCATGTAGTTTGTATATAATTTAATTTTTAAGAAAATTACTAAAAGTGTTGGATTTGAAAAAAAAAAATTAAAAAAAAAAGAAAAAACGTAATGATACTAGTAACTAAATTGATCCTTCCATTTTGGGTTCCAAATTGTTCAGCCTCAAATCGAACAACGGAAATTATATATATGTGAGTTAGTTTTAACTTAATAAATATAAATCTAAAATGATGTTTCGAATTTGGAAATAAAGAAATGCATTCGAGTTCATGTTTTCATGGTTATGATAACTGGTTTTTAATATAAAGTTTGGATCAATAATCAAATTTTTCTTAAAAATTATATAATTGAACCAACATGAGTAAGTATTAGAAATTCAATAAGAGTTGTACGGATCAACGATAAAATTGAGGAAATGACGATTGTGGTGGCATGAACATATACAAAAAAGACTACCATCAATGACGATGGTGAGGGTTGATTCATTGATGGATGATGTTAAGAGGAGAATAGGACATCCTAATAGGAAGTGGAAGGATATCGTAAGGTTAGACATAGAGTAATTGGCTCTTTCTAGCGACATGTCCTCATATAGGAGGGTGTGGAGGGTTAATATCATGTTAGTTGAGTGGCCTAGGTCCTTATATGCATCTTATTGCTTATGTCGTTTGGTAAATTGATTTGTTTTTTTCCAGTATATGTTTACTCCCTTGTATGTTTTGGTTTTTGATCGTTAATATCGATAATAATATGTTTTATATGTGTATATATAGCTCACACTATTTTATTATTCCTCTCTTTCCCCCCATTTAAAGGTGTTTATTATTTACATATGTCAGAGGCCTTTTTGGTTTTTGATCGTTAATATCGATATCTATGCCCTACCTCATTTCAATGGGATTCTCATGGTATGTTGTTATTGTTATATATATATATATATATATATATATATATATATATATATATATATATATATATATATATATATATATATATAAAGTTATGTTTATTGGCTAGGGAGTTATCTTCTAAACATGTATACATATTAATAAAGGGCTAATCACAAAAATGAACAACATAAATGTGAAATTCTCTTTTATAACCAATCCTTGAGATATTTTTAAAATAATCACCATCTTCGAAATACTTTAATCAAACTAATTGATTTTTGTGTCAGATTGTCTTAAGAGTTAAAACCGTTGAAACGGAATATAAAATAATATGAAAGTTGAAATTTTAGACAAATGGTATATTTCATAAAATAATATGAAAGTTGAAATTTTAGACAAATGGTATATTTCAAAATTCCATATATGCTAGTTTTGTATATTTTGGACAATACTTCAATTCAAACTTGTATATTGGACTGCATTTTAGGTTTTTTATCGTATATGTGATGTCTGTAGGGTTTTAACCATTTATCTAAATACAAAACTCTATTGTTCAAAATATAGCCAGATTTTAAAGCCCATTTTCCTATTGGAGGGTCATGGGAGCGAATCAGTGGTGCCATGCTGTAAATTATGTCTAATTATACATTTTATGGTGTGCATTTCACTTATGTATGAACTATTGTGGGGTGGTAAACTTCGCGGATTCCAAGATAAGGTTACGGCAAAATCAAACTTTTTGTCTTTCCAATGTCCTCGAATAAACGTTGATGACAATAATGTCAAATATTTTATGAGTATTGTTACTAGTATCTTGTCATTATTTGTTGCCAATAATATTATCAAAAGTGATGCTAACCAACTAGTTATATATCGATCTCCTATATCAATAAGAAACTGATTACCTCGGGAAAACCAATTTGATGAAAATTTGTCTCGCATTAGTATTAACCAAATATGTAATATATTGCATGTTACAGTGACTCCCGAAGCAATCTACGAAACACAAGAAATACGTGTAGACGATTTCCTTTCACGTCGTTAAGGGAAGTAATGTAACACATGTTTCCCAATATGTATTTTAATTGTTTAAGTAATTGAATTTATGTTAAGGAGGGTTAATTTTAGGCCGAGGCGTGACGTGCCTCATAGCAGGCACAACGAGCTTGGGCACATGCAGGTATGGAGCGGCGCATCCTATTTGGCAACTAAAACCCTAATTTATCGATCTTTATGCCCTATTTAAAAACACTAACTCCTAGGGTTGTCTTATTTGACCTCCATTTTGTAGAATCACCTCCCTCGAAACCCTAGGCTCCATTTATGATCTTCCTTGGGTTTTGTCACCTTGGTGTGTAGCTTTTGGGAGAAGGAAGCTCATTTGGTGGAAGAGAGCTTAGATCCCTCGAAACCCTAGCCTCCATTAAGACTCTTATTAGATTAAGATCTAAGAATTATAGGCACTAGCTAGAAGGATTAAGAGCTTAAGGAAAAATGTTGTTAAGCCAGTAAGCGTAACGTTCCTGTTAAAGAGTCACATCGTGTCTGACCGTTGACTTTTTGACCAGTTTGACTTTTGGTCAAGCTTTGGTGGATTTAAACTATAAAGTGAGAATAGAACTTTGTTTGGTTATATGTTATCAACGTTAGCTATTTCGAGGAGTTTGATTGTGTGTCTACAGTTGTATTGCATCCATGAGTTTTGTTTTTACAAACTTCTGTTGATATGATTTTACTTTGATTTTGGAACACGATGCGATATGTTTGATCAAATGCATGTTTTTATTATATTTTGGAAAATGGTTTTGGCTGATTACTCTTATTTTAAAATGACCATTTTATTTTGAAAATTCCAGACGTCACAAATGTAAGACATTTATGATGAGACTGTTATGATGCTCATGAATCATAAAATAACCATCAAAATCTGTTGATGTTGATTGATGATTAAAACCCACATTCACACAAAATCCAGTGTTGATATTTCCTACTCCACAAGCATGGCGGGCAAAATGCTATACTTCAAATTTTGAAAGGATCTATCAAAAAAATCTTTTTCCGAACTCCATGTGTATTATTACAATATTAAAAGGATTAATCCAGAAATTGTTACTCATATAATACGTATGAATTACATCGGTTTGAATACTTCGTCACTATCAATTGTTTGGTAATATTAGTTTTCAAATTGTATTTACATTTTCATTTTGATAAACTATTGTGATAGGTGGCCCAATAAAGTGTAGACTCTTCAGTTTAAAAACTAGGTGTGTACTATAATTGATGGTGCTTACCTAAAAATATAAACATGTATAAATATAATTATGTACTATAATTGCATGAAAGAAAATGATATTTTCTTTTGTAGTGTAACTTCAAAAGCCCATAACCCCTTACACTCAGAAGGAGACTAATAAAAAAAAAGATGCTTAAATGTTCACAATGAAAGGCATACCTTATCAAAAACACCTTTGAAGTACATGATTACAACAAGAATTGTACAAGGTACTGAAAAAGCAATTAAGCTAAAAAAAATGAATAGAAAAACAATACAAAGTGCTAAAAAGCAGAATGATTTTGATTGTAAATAGTTAGAAGAACAAGCTACAGTCCTCTTGGATCATATATAACCCCAAGGGTCAATAAAAACCTACCAAATAACTAAATAAGATATAACTTTTCTCCAAATATTAATAAATTTACAAATCCAAAAAATCAAAAACCCAAAATACTCCCTCTTTTTTTTTTTAACTTATTTCTAATCCAGTTTTTTTTATCATCATAATCTCATTAATTACCAGTTCAATGTTACAAAGATATCAGAAGACAGTTATATTTTAATCTGTACAGAATCATTCCTACCCTATAAAATTACCTCCTCTTCCACCTCACCTCTTCACCCCCTTGTACTTTGTGCTTTAAGAGTGGTACATTTCCAATCCGTCAGTCTTCGTCACATATCCTCTCCTTTCCCATCATCACTCTGCCACAACACACAAAACATCAATCAAAATTCTTCTTTCAACAACCCCCACACATTTGACCTATTTTATTAAAAGAAACCCTGTCATACGCTGACAGAGTCCAATCCACATTGGAACTGAAACTCTCACACCGACTGCTAAGACTGACATACCTGTTGCCAAGAAGTTGATTTCCCGGACCCACCACCGCCTTCACCTACTTTCTCACATTCGGTCACCTGCCCGGATGAATTCCCGGGCAGATTACTTCCGAAATTAAAACCGTTTCTACCGGATCCTGTTTTCGGGTCGGGATCAATTGGCTCTACTTTCGGTTCGTTTAATGGGATTTGAGGTCGGTTTGGGGTATTCTCGGTCAGCAAAGCGGGCAGCTGTATCGGGTTTACGGGCGGGGTGAATAATGAAGGTGGAGGGGCAGCATCGTTTTCACCAACGACTCCAGGAGCAAACTTAGTGCCAGGTGGCAAAGCTTTTTCAATTTTCTTTGATGCGATTTTCCAGACAACGGGGCCCAGGTTTGCAGCAAATCGAGCTAGGCTTCTAGCATAACCATGCTCAGCATGTAAACCTACCTGGATTTTAGTGAATAAAAATATATATTAAATGTTTTTAATTATTTGTCAAATGCCTAAAATAGTCCTTTTTTGTCTATTTGGCCACTTCAACTATTTTCCATGCTGATTAAACCATTATCCATTTTTTTTTTAAAAAGAGGGTAAAACCAGGAAGGAAGAAAATTTTATTAGAAATTAAAAAAAATATAACGGTGTAATCACTACAGAATATAGTTAGGTGACTAAATCAATAAAAATGGTGAAGGATGGAAACAATTAAAGACTAAATGCAAGAAAAAGTAATGTACTTTCATTTATTTGTTTATTGAAGCATATTGCTTCTATTTTTTTTTCTAGAGTAAATTACATGAATGGTCCCTATGGTTTAGGGTAATTTGCGCGTTTGGTCTCTTACTTATTTTTTTAACTCGGAAAGTCCCTACTGTTTGTTTTTGTTACACATATGATCCCTGTCTTACCTAAAAAAACTATTTTGCCCTTGATTTTTTAATTTATTTAAATAAACACACCCCCAACCCCACCCCAATCGCCTTACCTTACCTACCCCACCATTTTTCCATATTTAAATAATAGTTTTTTAGGTAAGACAGGGACCAAGCGCGTAACAAAAACAAACAGTAGGGACCAAGCGTGTAACACAAACAAACAGTAGGGACCTTCCGAGTTAAAAAAATAAGTTAGGGACCAAGCGCGCAAAATTACCCCAAACCATAGGGACCATTCGTGTAATTTACTCTTTTTTCTATTATGTATCTACTGTGTTTTTATTATCAAAGCAATGTACTAAATAAAACCTACCCAATTATTAGCATCAAACTTTCAAGTTTTTCCTTATTGGGACAATGTATTTTGAAAAATATACCAAATTATATCAATGAAAATTGCTTTTTTCTTTGGATGACATTGCTATAAGTGAGTAGACTTTTTCCAAATGAAAATGTTGTAATAGGAAGAAATGAAAGTAGGATGCTTTAACAAACAAATAACTACTTCCTAAAAGCTACTTCCGAATTAAAATAAGTACAAATATGGTAGATGAAAAGTGATATATAAAAAAGAAAATTGAAAACAAAGAACATACTGCTAATAGCTGCTTCTTTTCCCCACCAAAGTTGGATAAAAGAGATGACTCATAACCATAAGCTGAAGGGTGATATTGCTTGTAGGTTTCACGTCTAGTTTCGTCAATAATGAAATGTTTATTCCCATATTTCATGTCTGCTTTCCGAATACGCTCTGAAAAAATTGAGAATAAACAATAAAAAAATGTGTAACAAAAAACTACAATAGTCTTATTAGTAACAAAAGGAGTGATCTTGGTTTCTTTTAGTTATCAAAATTGATTCTTTTAGTTATACATTAAGTTTAGTTACTGTGTTTATTCTTTTATCATTCAGTCAAATATTCAAATCACATCTTAAAAAGATCTAAAACTTTGTGAATTGTTACACCCACAAACAAATATAGAATCTATTATATTATCAGAAGTGCTAAAAGCTATTTTAAGAAATTAAAAAAAAAAAAACCTGGAAACTCTTCATTCCAATCTGACAACAATTCTGAGAAATGTTCACCATTGCGAGAACGATTTGAACCAAATAAACCATCAGGTTGATACCTATAAAGCATAGGTGGCGCTTTTCGTAAATTGTAAGGAGTAGACTCGTTTGTATTGTCTTCAGGGGTTGCCAGGGTGGCACCTGAGGTTGACTCAGGACCAACACGGTCCAATGGCGGTCTGCCAGGTGTCTTCTTCACATGCTTGCCAGGTGGCCTTCCTCTTTTCACCACTTTTGGTTGTAATTCTCCATCTTCACCTTCTTGCCTCAGATTCTCAAAGTCCCTTTTTGCCAACTCTAGTATAGACCTCGCCTATTGAGAAAAAAAAAAAGTAAAATGATATAATTTATATATAAGTAGATAAGTATGCATAAACAAGATGAAACTTACCTGTCGAAAGTATATTGTATCAGATGAAATTATACTGCATTGCATTTGAGCAAATCAAATAGACATCTGCCTGCAAACACAAGATATATGCACAAAAGATTCATATAAACTATAAACATAACTGTATTTATGCTATATTAAAAGAAATAGAATCAAGATAGCAAATTTAAATGATTATGTAACTGCTAATATACAAACCTCCAATTCTTCCAAATTTGAATAAAGACCCTCATCAAGTTTTCTCCTAACAGTGCCAAAATCCATAGGTTGCTTGATAATTTCATGGTAATCTGGAAGCTGAACACAAAACAAGATATCCATATCAATGAGAAGTAGAAAAAAAATCACAATTGATGACATGAAAGCTTTCAAAATAAAGCACCTCATTAGGGTCAACAGGATCAGAGAAGACTGCATGAGTGTCCTTCCTGTAGACCAATTTAAATACTCTCTTAAATCAAGAAACAGTGGAAGAAATAAGATGTACTCTATTCAAAGAAGCAAAAGAAAGAAAGAGAGAGAGAGACACACTTTTGAAGCCTATCAAGAATGAACACCAACAACTTTTTGTCTGGCAAAGGTGTTGTGGGTCCAGACTCTAATGGTGACCCTGCATAGAAATTAAATGAAAAGATTAGAAAACAAAAACCCATGATAAAATCTCATTCAAAAATATAAGAAAAGGGTTTTTGATTAAGACCATGAAGAGTGTCCATCGCTTTCAAAACCTTTTCACCCTACAAACATAAAATCCACACCAATCGTTACAACAAAGAAGAATAAATTAGATTACAGAATATACATCAAAGGTAGTTGTAGTTCATCATTAATGAAAGCACCCACAAGATGAAAGGAAACATAACCAATTGGGAAGTACAGGTGAGGTTAAAGAATACAGAGAATAACAATAATTAATAGAGAAAAGACAAATTTGAACTTTTTCCCAGAGACATGGTGGTGGGGGAATGTTCCTTTAAGTCTGTGTGTATGCATATCCTTATACATATACATATAAATAATAAAAGTCAGATAGACTAACTAGAAGCAATACATCAACTATCAACTATACATATATAATAAAATAAGAGAATTTATGTCAAAAACAGAACGTTGATAGAATTAAAGGCTTCAGATTTCACAAACCACGAAAGGAAAAAATATATATATAAATTAGCATCGCACTGTACGTGTATGTTATATATCCACACATGTATCTATTTACAGGTTTTGTAGTTATGGATGTGTAAGCTAAAAACAAAACGTGACATAGTCAACACAAGTACGTCCACTAACGATCTTGGAAGAAAAGAAAAGGCTGTTGAAGTACCCGCGAAAATCCAAATAAAGTTTCAAAGGGGAGAAAATCATGGCCAGTGAAGATATTTTCTTCCCCTCAATTTTGCTATTTTTAAAATCCTGGTATTTTTTATGCTCTAAAATACACTTTTTCCCTCGATTTTCTTGTTTTAAACTCTTAAGCATTACTACAGTACAAATTCACAAAAACAAAAAAATCTAAACCCTAATTTCGAGGCATTAATGAAAGAAATTTACCTGATGATCAGTGAGAACACCACCAGATCCGGATTTAATTTTGCGAATATCAACATCAGCATTCGAATCAGAGCCACAAGATGCCGAATTAAGAGAGGAAGATCTAATTAAATCAGACGAGAAATGTTGTTGTTGTTGTTGCTGATCCGATTGGGGCAAACGAACAACGAGCTTGACTTTCTTCTCTTTCCTCTCATCATCATCGTCATCGTAGTACTCTTCTTCACCGACGTCGCTGGCAGTCGAGTTAGGGTTCCGGCGATTGGATCTCCGCTGTTGTAATTGTTCTTGATTTTGCAATTTCTGTTGTTCTATAGCCCGTTTCTGGAGATCTAAAAGAGAAGGACGGCCTTTCTTCTTCTTCTTCGCCGTCGTTGCTCCACCTCCGCCTCCTCCTCCGCCTACCTTACCCATGCTCCTTTCTCTCTCTATCCTTTCTCGCTATTTTTGGTTTCTCTCTCCAGAGCAAGCGTTAACTATTTTTGTTACATTACAATTTCTGAATGACAATTTGTTAACTTTTGGTCCTTTAACTATATAAATGTTGACTTAATTCACCCTTCTATTAGTAAATCATGCATGGTCTATCGAAAATCGACA